TGGTTGTCAGCAGCAAAACTGGTTGATCCACTCTGAGAAGGTGCTATTTAAGAGACTGAGCTGAAAACAGCACCTCAGACTGAGGAAGTCTCTCAGACGAGAGACGAAACGTTTCTACATTTTTTGTTGTTTTGCTTTGTTTTGGGTTTTTTTGAATGTCCAGAGGACCAGATTTAACTTTTTTGGATTTTTCTACCTGGATTATTGAGCATGCATCAGGATAATCTTAATGAGGTTTATAGCACAAAATATTCTTAATGAGGTTTAGAACACAGTTAATAATCTTAATGAGGTTTATAGCAGTTAATAATCTTAATGAGGTTTATAGCACAGTTAATTATCTTAAATAGGTTTATAGCAGTTAATAATCTTTATTAGGTTTATAGCAGTTAATAATCTTAATGATGTTTATAGCACAGAATATTCTTAATGAGGTTTAGAGCACAGTTAATAATCTTAATGAGGTTTACAGCAGTTAATAATCTTAATGATGTTTATAGCACAGTTAATTATCTTAAATAGGTTTATAGCAGTTAATAATCTTTATTAGGTTTATAGCAGTTAATAATCTTAATGAGGTTTATAGCACAAAATATTCTTAATGAGGTTTAGAGCACAGTTAGTAATCTTAATGAGGTTTATAGCAGTTAATAATATTAATGAGGTTTATAGCACAGTTAATAATCTTAATGAGGTTTATAGCAGATAATAATCTTAATGAGGTTTATAGCACAGTTAATAATCTTTATTAGGTTTATAGCAGTTAATAATCTTAATGAGGTTTATAGCACAAAATATTCTTAATGAGGTTTAGAGCACAGTTAATAATCTTAATGAGGTTTATAGCACAGAATATTCTTAATGAGGTTTATAGCACAGTTAATAATCTTAATTACGTTTATAGCACAGTTAATAATCTTAATTAGGTTTATTGCACAGTTAATAATTTTAATTAGGTTTATAGCACAGTTAATAATCTTAATTAGGTTTATAGCACAGTTAATAATCTTAATTAGGTTTATAGTATAGTTAATAATTTAATTAGGTTTATAGCACAGTTAATAATCTTAATGAGGTTTAGAGCAGTTAATATTCTTAATGAGGTTTATAGCACAAAATATTCTTAATGAGGTGTAGAGCACAGTTAACAATCTTAATGAGGTTTATAGCAGTTAATAATATTAATGAGGTTTATAGCACAAAATATTCTTAATGAGGTTTAGAGCACAGTTAATAATCTTAATGAGGTTTATAGCAGTTAATAATATTAATGAGGTTTACAGCACAGAATATTCTTAATGAGGTTTATAGCATAGTTAATAATCTTAATTACGTTTATAGCACAGTTAATAATCTTAATTAGGTTTATAGCACAGTTAATAATCTTAATGAGGTTTATAGCACAGTT